CAGGTGCGCGGCGGCTTCTTCAACCTCAGGTCCGCTATGGCGGACTATCACCTTCGGCAGCCACCTCGGCTATGGCGCATCAGGTCCTGCATACGACGGCGCGCATGGAATAGCGGGTACCAGCTCTGATACCAATGCAATCAGACTCGTTCTCAAACACACTTTTCATGCATGTAAACAGCAACGCAGCAACTGGCGACATGCGCCCACACAGAACTCAGAGATATGGCTTCCAGGTACGAGTTCACTCTCAACTGGCTATGGCGACTTCAGCGCCCAAACAACTCACTGTTCACACACCGGATCACCCTGGATGTCCCACGCGCATCACTCTGAACACTCATACACACACACACACACACTTCCTACTAACTACCGCTATGGCAGCTATGGCTGCCTCTAACCTATTGCTATACTAATCTCCTTCTCTCTCGCCCACTGCGTCCTCTGGGCTCATCTGCAGACCTCCTTGCACAAGTCGCTGTGGCAGCGCTTCCGCATGGCTCACGCAGGAATCAATGAATGGCTGGGTGCTGCCTCTTGATTTATACTTCAGAAACTCGTTGGTCTGCCCTTTGCCATCGGCCCATGGTGCTCACAGTCCCCCCGTGGTACCTGCTGGACCAGACTGGGACTGACTGGACCTTTCGCTGACTGACTGTGGACTGACCGCTATCCTACCGACGTCGTACTGCTATTGCATTGCAGTTTAGTCCACCACTTGCCTCGCCACTTGACCACTTGCCCACTTGCCCACTTGCCTACCTTCTAGAAGGTCTACAGCTAGGCTTCCGGAACTTCACTAAGACTTCTACGCTATAGACCTACAGATCGAACCCCTGCTGCCTATGGACCTACGACAGACCTACCAACTGTCTACGAATACACAGGTTACAGGTTCAACTCTCGGGGTCTACACAGATACTGTACATGGGTAGGGTGAGGTCTAGGGATCGAACCCTGGGTACTGCATCCGCTAGTGCTAATAGGTGAAAACCGTTTCACTATAGCCTTGTAGAACATCAACAGGACTTCCCTGTTACTTGTAGAACCTCAATAGGATCACCCTTTTACTTGAACATTGCTGCCCTCAACCTTGTAGAACTTCAATAGGATTACCCTGTTACCTAAACATTGCTACCCTCACCCTTGTAGAACCTCAATAGGATTACCCTGTTACCTGAGGGTCGAAGAGACAAATTTGTCAAGTTTGAGCATTGATTCCCTCATCCCCGTAGAACATCAATAGTATTGCCCTGTTAATTGTTGCTTCAACCTTGTAGCAACTCAACTACCTTGTTACCTGAACATTGATACCTTCACACTTGTAGAACATCAGTAAAGATTACCCTGTTACTTGCATTACTCCCCCTTTCCCTTTCTTACCAGAGATCGGCCCAGTCCTGTCCTTCATGGTTGTTCATCAGGCCTTTGGCAGCCAGGACGTTGCCTTCCAGAGGGAGGGGATAGTGTTACGGACTCAGCCAGGGCTCGATCCCTGGTCCGTGGGTTACCACCCGCCTGGCTGCTATGTCATTTTCGGGTCTCTGTTCTCAGGCCCCTGACTGTTGGCGCCCTCTGCAGTTGGCGCCCGTTCTCAAATTCCTCTTTTGACACTTTCGGATTTCGATACTTGGCGCCATCTGGCATTCTGGCGCCCAGACTCAGACCTTCGATTTCCAGTTCAGCCCTGAGGCAATTTGCACTTCTGCCCTCGGGACTGAACTTGAGTCCGGTACTTAAGACCGGACTCAAGCCCAGTACGGGCAACCAGTTTTCAGCCTCATTGCTTGTGTTCAGTGTGACTATGCTTCAACATTGTGTTCAGGAATCCAAGACTGCGACTTTGCCACTTTGCCACTTTGTGTCTGCGTCCTTCGAGTCGTGTCGAGTCTGCGTCGAGTTGAGTCAGCGTGTGTGTGTGCTCTCACTCTCCCTCCCTCTCCCAGCCTCGCTGCCCTGTCTCCGCCCTGTTACACCCACCCCGACATTATGTCAGGGGGCGTAATCACAGTGACACCATTTGCCGTTCGAACCATTACAAAGGAGGCACGCGACTATTCTGGATCCGGATGTCCAAATACAAATACATGTTCACACATGTTGAGCCAGGATCCCGAGGTGTGCTCACCCCCATAATATGTTAGAGCGCGTACTCGCACCTACCCTAGCTTAAAGGTATTTCACTGCATTTGCGGCTACGTGACTTTTATCAAGCTGGCCACGAGATGCGATCCCGCTGAGCGTTACCTCAGAGCTGGATGCTTGTGTCATGCTGTCTTCAGTTGATGGGTATACCATGAAGCCATGTGGGCTTGCTTTTTTTTTTTTTTTTTTTTTTTTTTTTTTTTTCTTTCCCTTGCAAAACTCCAGGCCTCAGCGGCCCCCAGCAGGGGCCACCTGCAAGGATTTGCCCCGGCCCTAAGTGAAGGCCGGCTGTAAAAGTAACGGCTGGCAGAAAAGTAACTGCCACGGCCGTTAGGATCTCCAAGAGTCAGGGTTGGGTCTATGCTAGGTTTAGCCCCTCATACAGTGGATGCTGTGGACCGATCTTGGCCTAAGATCTACGCCAGGATGTGTCTACTCCAGCCCGTTAGGGTGTATGAGAGCCAGGGTTAGGTCTATGCTAGATCTAGGGCCAGGTCAGTGGATGTCTTGGACTGATCCAGGCCGAGGGCTGTGTGGGAAGGCATCGGTGTATGGCCCTACAGCCAGGCCTGCCATGCGAGGCGAAAGACAGAAGCAGGTATTAGCCTAAAACAATTGCTACTCTGTTTTCTCTCGTCAAAAGTCATCTGCTTCGCTGAAATCCAGGTTTTGCATGTTTGTCTGCTTGTGCAAGGAAAATGAGAGGTAGCGAGATGACAAAATCCAGATAGCACAATCACATTGAAAGCAAGAAAGTCCCACAGTGTCCAGATAAGCAGCATTGCACCAATATTACACCAATGGAGAATCGAAACACTGAAACCGAATGTCAATGAGAGCTTACTCTCGTCCCCACCAACATACGTATCCAGGCCCTCTCTCCCTACTTGGCGCTCGGCGCCCAGGCTACTCGCTACACAGCTACTTCCTGCCTACGAATTGACAATACAACTGTTGACGTCAGCAGCCACCGAAGTACTTGAAGATGTCGACCAATGCAGACCATCGCCAATACCAGGTATGCGCCCTCACATCATCATCCTCATCTCTTTCACTCTCTCCCTATCCTTGTCTTCCTCCCACGTCTTCTCCCTCATGCACGAAGACCACCACCACCTCCACTGGCTGTCCAACCCAAGCCCTGGCTATGTAGGGCTGGCTATGGCGCTGCCCTCAGCAGCACCCTGCCTTCTTCCAGCGCACTGCCTGGCAACTAGCGTAGCGCACAGCGCACAGCCCGCGAGCGCACGCTCAAGCAGCACTACCACATGCACTGCCTAGTGCCCGAATGAGCCCACCAGTGGTGAGCTCTTTCCTTTTTGGAAAGTGCTTGCCCAGTTTGCTGTCTGGCTGGGCCTCGTGTGTTTCCAGTCGCTTCCGATCGAGCCAAAGTGTCTGCGCCCAGGCCCATTCAGACAGTGGCCTGGGACCGAATTGGTTAGGCATGCCCAACCACCCAGGAGTAAACGTGAGGTTCTCCCTGCTTCGCCTGTGCTGCTGGAAGAGCCTAGAAGGCTCATGAATTATTTCTGATTCTCAC